GAAAATAGAGAGTTAGTTAAAGAAGAGAACAAAAACAAGATAGATAACAAAGGCAAAGATGTGGAATACAGAAAGCTTAAAGCACTTTATTAAGAAGATAACAAAGGAATATGAGAGAGAAATAATTCAAGAAGGGAGTACCTCAGTACTAGGTCTTGCAGATTATTTCAATAGGATAGTAGCAAAAGCAATGAATATAGATAAAGAGATTATTACTTTAGCAAGACAATAGCGCACAGCACTAGAAAGAGCTGCTTTTACAGAAGGAATAGATAAAGTTCAATTAGTACTAGATAGAGAACAAAACACAAGGAATACACAACAAAAAATAGTAAATAAGATAATAAATGAGGTAGAAATACGAATAGAAGTGCCTCTACTAGCAGAAACAAGAATCATTATGCAAGTAGAAGTTTCAAAAGACTCAACACAACCTATACCTTCTTAAAATGAAAATAACAATATATCAAATAGCGTAAAAGCAAATAAGATAGCAGAAACTATAGAAGATATTCAGCTAGTAGAAAGTAGTATAGAAATCTACTCATTAAAAAATGAGATAGAAGAACGATTAGAAAGATTAGTCGAAGTAGGAAAATCAAAATATGGTAGCATATTATTAGAATGTAGCTTATGGGTACTGAAACCAGAATCATGCAAGGACAAAAGAGAGTTCAAGGCAAAAGTAGCTGCAGTTAAAATTCTAAGAGATAATACAGAACAAAGAGAAAAGTTAATCAGATAGGTATTAAGAGAAAACAAATATATTAAAGCAATTCAAGAAAAATTTGCAAATGAAAACTAATGATACATCATTTATTACGACTGCAAGAAGAGATATGAAGAAGCTAAATCAAGACTGGAAAAAAAGAAAAATAAATTTGACTAGCTGAACTTAATACTAGAAGAAAAAGTTGAGAAGAAAAGTCTTAAAAAAGAAAAAAAAACTGTACATATCTCTAAGAAAGAAAAAGAAATAAGAGAAAATCAAGCAAGGCTCGAGCTTGAGGAAATACAAAAGAGAAGAGCTACTCTATACAACCAAGTCAAAAAAAACAAATCTTCAACAAACAGTATGATTAAAAAAAGAAAGGAAGTTGCAACTGATCAAGCAACAGAAGACAAACTAGCTTTTAAAAAAGATAAAGAGAAAAAAAGAATGTACAAGCAAAAAACTCTTAGTGAGAAAAAGAGAAACTCTAGAAAAAACTAACACTTAAACAAAGAAGAAAGATCCTTTACCAAAACAGAAGAAGCGATTACAGTATAGGATATACCTCACTATGTAACAAGATTACAAGTCTTCTATGCAACTAGATACTTTAGACAAGTCAAAAATATTGAAATGATCAGAGAAGGATCAGGAAAAGTAAGAGCAAAAATACTCTTTGAAGAAGGAAATAGTCTAGTGCAAGGAATAGAAACCTAGGCCATTCCTTTTACAAATGATCTGTTGGTTTGCATAATACCAAAATCAAATAGAAGAAATCTACTTGAAAGTTGCAAGCAATTTACACTAAAGCTATTCAATATCCCACAAAATGTAAATGAAGTATTGCTATTCAGGTAGCTTAAGCATACTAAAGCAAAAGCAGTACATGTCTTCAAAAATTCAAATAGTAACAACAAAGGCTACGTATTAGTTTTTTTTAAGAGCTAAAGAGAAATGATACGAGCACAAAAATTTAGTATCAACTATTACAATACAAAGCTATTCTGAAAAGCACCAGAAGTAGACGCAAGTAAAACATATTATTCAGAAGAGGAAAGTCAGTAAGAATACTATGTAACCTGAGCCTACTAAGAAGAAATTAGATGTTAGTACCTGTTTGCTGAAAAATTCGAAAAAAGGGTTAAAGAAATTAAAAATGATAATAGTAGATTTAATGATCAACAAGCTAGAGGTTAGTTTATGGCAAAATCGCAATGAATATTCCAGGATTCACAAGAGAAAGCCTATGTAAAAAAACAGCAAAAACTAGAAATATTTATAAGTTGTTTGGTGAAAGTTATGACCCTGAACCCAAAACAGTAGTTAAGGGACTAGGGATTGAAAAAATAGAACGAATTCAATCATATAGTGCAGATTATATTTCAAAACTTAATGCTACACAAATTTATAGTATTATAAAGCATTTTAGCTAGCGCAGATCGCGTCCCCC